GTAGATTATCAACAAATCTGGCCATTCACACTACCTTCAACTTACGGCACGATGATCCTCTATCATCAAGCCACTGATATTTGAGTCTCCATACATCGAGTGTCATTATTTACGATCAGCCTGAGCTGTTCAGTCCTCACGAAAATAACCAGTGTTCAGTTTTTTGTTGTTCTGGTTTATTTTTATTCACTGTTTTCACACGCTCCGTTTTGATCGGACTTCTATCTTCAGGTATGGACGCATGTCAATCAGTTTGTGCAAAACCTGAACTCCAGTGGCGAAAATGATCTCATCGAACTCCCCCCGACACTGTTTGATCACTTGCCGCTCGCAGATCCCGGGCGTTGTGCTCAAGCATTTGTAGACTGTTGGAACGGCACTATTGTGCCACACTTGCGTGCCAAGTTTGAACAACGACGAGCAGCCAGTGGGAGCGTTTGTGATGGCCCAGATCCACGTGATTGGCTTGTGGATCACTGGCCTTGGAAAAGTGTATCAGAACTTGCCAAAAAATCCACGGAACTTCACACTGTAATAACTCCGTTGGCTTCAACCAAACCGTGATACGGAACTGGTTTTGTCAAAAAAAATCTTATCAAGACTACTTGTATTTATCGCTTAAGTAGTCATACTTGTACAAAAATGAGAACAAAAAACCAGTCAGCACACATTTGTACAAATATTCATTGCATGATTGATTTAATTTAGGGTCTATCGTATATTGTGAGCACGGATATCCTCGATTATCAAATGTGGTAAACATTTTTTTTTAGTTTGCAGATATAATACTGGAAGATTTCTATCCTTTTTTGCACTTCTGGGGGTTCTGATTTTTTTTTGAATTGATTTCAAAGGGGTTTCCATTCCTTAACCTCAAAAGCAGTGAGCGAACAAAGACGGGGTAGAGTGGGAACAGCATCGTATATGTTGACGAAAATTGAGAGATGTGAGTTTAATTTGAAGTTCAGTTATTATTCTGGATAAGTTATGAAGTGTGAGCTCATTCAGTCCCATAGAAACGTTACACACCGGATTCGGAGGGTCGAAATACAAGTAGAATCTTCTGTATCCATGTGTTCCCCACCGGTGTACGAGAAAGTGGGGTGTGTTATAATGCTTTGTCGAACCGTATCTTGACCGAGTGTATGGGTGAAGCACAAGCAACTTTGGATAAAAGAGAGTTCCCGATGCGATGTTACATATTCTGAAGCTGACGGAGGTCCACCAATAAGCTAGCCGAGTCTTTGTGCGAACAAGTTCCAAAGGATGTCTCTCGAAGTGGCAATTTCCGGTTGGTAGGTGGCGGTAATTGAGATAAGGGCATCCTATATTCCTAAATTCGATGGTTTGGGACGAGTTTGGTCCTGATATTTGCACCTTTTCTAAGTAGGTGACGGATTGTGATCCTTCGAAAATTTTGGTTGTTATTCTCGGCTTGCCTTCGAACGCTATTTTGTCACGACTTATCCATCGATTCCAAACAGGAACAGAGTTCTCGTTGTCCGGTGGTAACGTCACCAAATTATCACCCCCAAAGGACATGTGTTCGAACCCCAACACCACCGTCTAATTTCCCCATTCTCTGTGTTGTATGGTATTGCTTTGATTGGTTGCTTCCCTTTTCCCTGGTATATGCATTAAAAAGGAAGTATTAAATGAAAAAGAGAGGAAAACGAAACAATAGGTCTGTTTCATTCGGTCAAAAAATGCGTTTTGAGCAATCCATCCTGACACAATGAGTGGAACATTCTAATTCTACCCGAATGAGAGATTTCAAATCCTCATGACTGATATCCACGGACCTAGTGAAAGCGACTCTTGGAGGTGCAGTGATATATTCTTTTATTTCGCTAGCTTTCATTCAATGTCCTTGACGATCGAGCATCAGTTAACTTCATCCTGTAGTGTTACACACACACACACAGCGGCTGAGGTCGTTTAGCCGTTCTCCGTCCGTTTTTCTTCGTTGTCACTGAATACTAAATTATGAAAATGGTGGAAACCGATTATGAATCCCTGAAGAAAAACCCCGCGCACTGCCTCAATCGGTCCTGGTAGTGAACCATAAACTGGGACTAACATGGTAAACCTCGAAGAAATTTTGCAATCCAGTCAATCAGCGATCCTTGAACACGGTACCTGTGTTGAGCCTACCTGCAGTACTTGGTTCTTCACAAGGTTACAAGTTTGCATCATTCCAACTAGATTCGTATAGCTACTGTCTCCCCTGCGTTGACTATTTTTGTCCACATATGTCGTGCAAGTAACGGGTTGATAGCACATGACCGTTTTCGTCGAAACCCATGGTTAGCTAGCATCCCATCTGGGATGCAGCAACAATTGTTTCCATTAAATCCAAGGAAGTAGAACCAAATTGAGATCACTTCGACTGAAACCGTTTGTGAAAATGGGTAAAATGATACCGTGTTTACACTACTACATTAAGAGGCATCTACCCCTTCGACTATTCAGAAGTCTACATCCGCTGTTATTTCATCTGTGTAAATTGCCAAAGAGGCCACAGTTAGTGAACGTGTTTTCTTCACTCTATGAATAAATTCATACAGGATACTGGAAGTTTGGCTTTTGCAACTTCACTCTTGAAAGTGGTGGTTACCAGTTGGGGATATGATAGAGAATGTGAAAGCTGCTATTGGTCTTCACCATTTGCGATTCGTAATTCACGAAACTGTGTTCAGTAATTCATGTACAGTAGGGGAAACGCGTTCGGCCTACCTCAGCACGCCGGTATCTCATATTTGTCTAAGCCAGGGTGTTATCGAAACATCTGTTCATCGTCTGGCACAAATTTGACTCATTGGTTTCTCAACACGGTATAATTATTTCAATTGTCAGTGAGCGGCTATCTTTTGAAAAAATTCCTCCCTGCCACGCATTTATTTGTTCGATTGCGAACACGTGATTTACCAACAGGCTTGTTTACTTTTATAGCCTCTGTTGATTTGGTTATTAGCAATGAATCTTTGACGGGAGGTCAATGGACTACACTGTAAATTGCTGTGGTCAATATAGGGTGTATGTGTTTTTTCTCACAAAGCCTTCCATAGAGATGTGGTCAGTTTAATCGAAAAGCGAAATAGCTTGTTCGTTGCTCCCCTATAGAGACGGGATTTTGACTGATTATGTCATAACCTCCTCGCTTATGTCAATACTCAGTTCCGTTCAGTTCTTACAGCCATTATTCAAACACTTTCGTGTTCCTGTTTGAATACTCTAGATTGATTGCCCATCTGGATAAAATAGCGCAATGAAGATGAGAATGTTGAGAGCAAATTCAGGCGGAAGATGACCAATTTATATAGACTGAATTTGCAAGAATAATGAGTAGATGCATGAGCGTCACTGTTTGCGACAGCCAGCCATATTTCTCAGTGTCTCTAACCATCGGTGACCATGATCTCTGGGTCCCCAGCCAGGGAGCCTAACGGGACCTATGTGACCCAATGCCCTAGTTAGAGTTTTCATACCCTCATTCCAGATATTAGTTTGACCGCCATTGGTTTTTTCCAACCGCTACCTACCTCGATAAACATTGCTCTCCGTGGCAACCTATCTGGTGGCATGCGTAGCACATGTCCCAACCAACGTAATCTATGGAGGTAGACTACCTGCTGCAATGGACGACCGCGATTACCTAAAACTCTACGTCTAACCTTAGCATTGCTGGTCCGGTTTTCCCACCCAACTCCTGCAATGCGTCTTAGATAGCGATGTTCAAATCCCGACAGCGATTTTTATCCTGTTCCCGTAAGGGGCAAGCCTCAGCGCCGTTAAGCAGAACTGGCCGAACTGCGGCAGCATATACTCGACTCTTCAAAGATAGCCTGATGTTTAAAGTTGGCAAATGCTAACCGAGTCTTCTGTGTGCGAGCTGATGCGTCCACCAAATGAGATTTAGCTGACCAAATAACAAGACTTATCCACTTGTTCTAATACTTCCCCAGTTAGAGTGAGTCTCGGTGGTGGACCAACCCAGTCTTGTAGTAACATTTTACACTTTGAAGATGAAAAACACATACCGAAGATGGCTACGCTGGCATTTTAACAATCCAGAAAAGCTTGCAATTTACTTGGACCTTCACATAGCAGCACAATGTCATCTATATACTCTAGATCAAACAGTCTGCCACCCGGAATTAAATGGATACCGCTATCCTCGTACGAGGATAGGGTTGTTTCAATTATTCAATCTATGGCAAAATCAAATAGAAACGGAGAGGGGGAAACCATGACGAACACCACTTTCCGTGGTGAACTCCAGTACAAAAGTGCCATAAGCTTGAACTGGGCTAGTAGTACAGAACGATTGTAATATTGAAATAAACTTCTCAGACACACCCTTCAGGGGAGTCCAATGTTGATGGTGATAAGCATGTTTCTAATCTGATAAGGTATTTTATGTGACTGAGGATAGGTTATGTAAAATGTTATTTGAATGGTGATTGTTATCTCTGGCTTTGGTAAGGTTGGAACAATTAAAGTCCTCATTATGAATGAACTTTAGTCAGTAAGTAGGAGAAGTTATAACAGAGTCCCTTGAACCGAATATAACGAGACAGAAGAGCGACGAACCGGATCAATCGGTGCTACGTTTAGACGGAATATGTCATGAGCGGTTTCAGCGACAGATCACGTGGTACACAAAGAAGATGACCTTGTCGGACGATCGCGTCTGACTGGAGACAATCCTATTAGATACATCAAGAATATTTGCCATCGATGAAGCTCATGTACTGTTAAAAATATACTCCCACTAAATAGACAGCTGTATCGCAGAAAATTGGCCGTGGAAGCTCTGTTCGTTTGTGTTAAAACAGATTAGAGATTGTATCACAACAACAATAATAGTAATCCGTTTTTACTTACTGAATCATTTTTCAGAACAGGACTGTGTCCAATCAAAGGTTGCCTAAGAAGAACAATAAAGAATGGGCCAATCGGTACTGTTAATCTGAGCCATCAAATGTGTTGAAATAAATGGGGTTGAGAAGGATAGAAATCAGGCACCGTTTTAAAACTGAGAACACCGATTAGCCTCATTATTCATCAGGTTTCTAAGGAAAGCTTTCGGAGTTCCTATACCATGACCGTGAGACCCATGTGATCATTTCTGTGATACTTCAAATTTCTCTCATAGTTTGTAGGCCGCGTCCACGGTCATTTGTAGGATAAAGAAGCCACCTGATTGATGTAGTGAAAACTGTCTTACGTGCTATTAACTATCATATAAATATTCATAGTTTTCAGGCACTCTGTTTATCTGTATTGTGACATGTGGGAACTAGACAAATCAAGACAAACTGCTTATTATCTGACTAGTGTTCATCTATCGTGTACAGTCCGTCCATTATTTATCTGTAACAATTCATATTCTATTCCAATTTTCATCTTCAAGAAGGCAGTTAGGGAGAGAAGAATATTCTCGAAATTCTTTTTGTTTTTCCAACATGAGAATGGATGGCCTACGATCGGCGTACGATCTTTAGAATTATGATATTCATTGGAGCACATAATATGGTCCAGCGATGAAACACTTCCTCCTG